TGGTCTGAGTGGGTCCAGGGGTCAGAGTGGGCCCTGTGGTCAGTGGGCCCAGGGGTCAGAGTGGGCCCTGTGGTCAGAGTGGGCCCTGTGGTCAGAGTGGGCCCTGTGGTCAGAGTGGGCCCAGGGGTCAGAGTGGGCCCTGTGGTCAGTGGGCCCAGGGGTCAGAGTGGGCCCTGTGGTCAGTGGGCCCTGTGGTCAGAGTGGGCCCAGGGGTCAGAGTGGGCCCAGGGGTCAGAGTGGGACCCTGAGATCCTAGTGGACCCTATGGTCTGAGGGCACCCTGAAGTCCGAGTGGACCCCTGTGTGCAGAGTGGACTCTGTGGCCCTAGTGGGCCCTGTGGTCAGTGGGCCCAGGGGTCTGAGTGGGCCCTGTGGTCTGAGTGGACCCCTGTGTTCAGAGGGGACCCCGTAGCCCCAGTGAATACCTGGGCTAGACCGCACTGGCCTCTCACACGTGCGTCCAGGCCCGGCCCTGCCCCTGGGCCCTCGGGGTGGGGCGGGGCCAGGCTCCCAGGCGGGCGATGCCGGGACTCCGCACCCACAGCCCCTGGGACGTGTGCTGGCCGCGTGCCCGCCCCTTCCTCTGTCCCGCCTGGGTCTGCGCCGGCCATCCCTCCGCGCCTTGGCGGGCTGAGGGCGGAAGGGGCGACGTGGCGGGCCTCGTGGACCGCGGGCACCTCCCCTTCTCCGGGCAGCGGGCCCAGCGGGGTCCCTGTGGTCCTGCGACTGCGGGAGGCGCCCCCGCCCCAGCGCCCCTGCGCCCCCGGACCGGCGGCCCCTACCCGGTCCCCACCAGCCTGGAGGGAAGCCGGGTGCAACGGGCGGCCTCACTCGGCTGGCGGGAGGCGGGGCGCATGGGGACATGTACGGTGATCTCAACAGATGCAAGAAAAGACTTCTGACAAAAATGTCGAAACACTCAGCAAACCAGAATGGAAGAAATTCTCTCCACCTTTTCGGGGCATCTGAGAGAACCCACTGCAGACGCCAGCCTGGGTACTTTTCCCCAAAGCAGATGTCACTGTGGGGACGGGAGAGAACGCCAAACCGAGGGAAGGACACACATCGCAGAAGGAAGAAATGAAGCTTTATTTCACACCGCGGCGTGATTGTGGACAGGGAAAATCCGAAGGGATCTAGAAAAATGCTGCTCGATCTGATGATCAATTTAGCAAGGTTAAAACACACAAAGTAAACACACCAACTTTGGTTGTATTTCTCCGGCTAGCGCAAACCTCTGGAAAATGTCAAAACAGCACCATTTACAGCAGCATCAAGACAAGGAATACTTAGGACAGAGTTAGGAAACCCCTGTCAGAGCCACACGGGAAAGTTATAAATGTCGCTGAGAGAAACTGACGAAGACCGATAGACGAGCCACGTGCCAGGCTCGCGGTGGGTGACTCGGTATCCCTAGGACGGCGATTGCACACACTGATCCATGGGTTCGCACAATCTCATTAAAAGTCCCAGCAGACACTTTGTTTGTCCTGGATGCTTCCATTTGTTGACAAACATGGTTCTAAACTTACATGGAAATCAAACAATCTAGAAGAGCCAAAGAAATATCTGAGAAAGCAGAAGAAGGTGGAGCCTCCCATTTCCCGGATTTCGAGACACACACAGACTTCAGTAATCAAGAGAGCGTGACGTCGGCACCTGGCAGGTGTGCAGATCAGCAGGAACACGAGAGTCCAGAAAAGACCCCTAAGGACACTAGTTAAAAAGAAAATCACCAAGGTGATTCAATATTCTGTCAAGGATGCACTGAAAGAGCTGATATTGAGACCCAGAATAAAAACATAGAAAGGCCTCTGTCTTTGCCTTCATGAAACTGCCGTCTACCAAACACCAGCTAGGCAGAACCAAACGTCACACCTGAAACCATTAGAACTCCCAGGGGGAGAAAACCTGAATGCCTTGGCATAGGAAACATTTCAAAGAGATATCAAAAGCAAGATCCATTAAAAAAAATACTCCAGCCTGAGCAAGAGCGGGAGACCCATCTCTACTAAAAATAGAAAGAATTAGCTGGACAACTAAAAGTATTTAAGAAAAATTGCCAGGCATGGTGCGCATGCCTATAGGCCCAGCTACTTGGAGGCTGAGGCAGGAGGATTGCTTGAGCCAGGGAGTTCGAGGTTGCTGTAAGCTAGGTGACCCACAGTACTCTAGCCAGGGCAACAGAGTGAGACGGAGGGAGGGAGGGAGGGAGGGAGAGGAAGGAGGAAGGAGGGAGGCAGGAAGAAGGGAGGAGGAGGGAGAGGAGGGAGGAGGAGGAGGAAGGAAAGAAGAAGGAAGGGAGGGAGGAGGGAGGGAGGGAGGAAGGAAGAGAGGCGAGAGGAGAGGAGGAGGAGGAGGGACGAGTGAGGAGGGATGGAGAAAGGAAGTGAGAGGAAGGA